TGGGAGCCTTGGTTTCCTCCACTGTAAGATGGGCTTCATTGACCTGCCTCACAGGACCTGGCTCAGTAGCCACTCTCTTCTTCCCTTTCCCTCGATGGTGAAAAAGGATGGGAGTTTGGGGCCAGGCAGACAGTGCTGGAGGTATGGGATGCACTGAGTAGAAGTTTAGGCTTTTCTTTGGCATTTGAGAGAACTGGGTTCTGTTCTAGAATTTGTAGCTGTGTGACTACAGCTGCCCCCAAGTCCACCTGGCAATGAGTCTGAAATATTGTGCTTTCCTCTAGGCTGAGATAGCCTTATGCTTGTGTCCGCACTTATGCTTTCTGTTGGCCACGTGCCCTTGTGCAGCGCACAACACATACAACCATACACAGCAGCCCTGTATGCACCCTTGGGAAAGTTATGGTTTCTTTACCTCTCTGAGCTTCTGAGCCTCGGTTTACCCATCTATAAAATGGGGCTATAGGCTGGTCCGATGGTAGTGGGTTATCAGAACTTATTAACATTAGTGTCACTAAAGTTGGTATTCAACCCCCCACTGCTAAATTTGACTGGAAAAAGAAAATGGGGCTATACAGTTATTTCTTACATATTCCTGGAGCTGTTAGGAGGTTCACATACATTGTAATGCCTCAGGCAGTTCTCAGTTCTCATAGGAACCAGAGATTTTTACACCCTCCAAGGCACATTTACAAGCAGGATAGGAAGGCTGTGAAATGTGAGCCACACCCCTTTCAAGGTTACACAGATCGGTATCGAAGTCTCTAGGCCCCCAGCTGGGCTTTGTTCCAGGCCTTCCTGCTGAGGTCAGCTTGGGCCTCGGCCGGCCGCAGGGAAGTGGACCCAACATTAATGCGCACACTGGAGCCACAGCGAGGTCACCTCGACACAAGTGTTAAGCTACCTCTTGGCCAAAAGGGGTCGCATCAGTGCCCTCACAGAGACCAGAGGGCTGTCCCAACAGCAGGGCAGAGCTGGCAGCAGGGTGAGGGTGGCTGGGCTTTCGGGAGAAAGTCCGTTTTCCACACTCGTAAAGCGCTTAGGCCAGAGTGTGCACAGAGTGAGGCTGGGTACGTGTTAGCTGCCGTCGTTAATGTGATGGCTGTCACAAGCACTACTGCACAGACGCGGTGGCCCCACTCAGCGCCAGGCCTTGTGGAGTACTGGGGCCTCAAGCAGCAGGAATAGCCGTCTCTGCTTCCAGCAGCGCACGGGGCAGTCGGCAAGACAGACGGCAGGGTAGGGTTTATGACGGGAAAGCTGCCGGGGCTGGGGGAGCACAGAGGAGGGGAAACGGTCTTAACCCAGGCTTGCTGGGGCCGGGGTTGGTCAGGAAAGGTCTCTAGAAAATCCACATTTTGCAGTGGAGCTGTTACTGCCTCCATCGTCCAGATGTAGACGCTGAGGCTCAGAGAGGTCCCGCCGCTTTTCAGCAACGAAGCTGGCTTCGAGCACAGGCTGCCTGGCCCCAAAGTCCAAGCTCGTTGGCCTGCAGTACCCCAGGCTTGGCCCCCACTTCCTGGTCCACTTCTTTGGTGGGAGCTCAGCAAGGGCCTATCATGAAGGCAGGGGAGTCTGCCTTTCCTCTGAGGGCCGGCAGCCGCCGAGGGGTTTCCAGGGGCAGCCAGGTGGTCGAGGTGGGGTGGCCTGGAAAGATGCCAGGAGCAGGAGTTTGCGAGAAGAGGCAGTCCTGGGAATGGGGAACCCAAACAGCCTCAGACTCCCCTCCCACCCATGTGGGAATTATGAGGGGCTGGGGGTGCTGGGACCAAGGCCTGGGGACTCAGGGTGTGGGCCCAGGGCCCAGGAAGCTTGGCGTCCTGGAAGGACCCCAAGACCCAGCTTCTAGCAGCTTCAATGCAGGCAGCTGAGGTCCCGTATACCTGGAGAGGACGGAGGGGCCTGAACTCACATCCGGGCCCCAGTTGGGCAGGGGGGTTGGCAGGACAAGGGGAGGGAAGTTGGTTCCCATTTCCCAGGGTGGATGTCAGAGGCGGGGTTGGGTAGGGCAGGACCCAAAGGGTCAAGGCCTAGGAGCCACTTCCTCTTTCCCACTGCCTGGAGTGATGTCACTCCCGGCTCCCCACCCCTGCCTTACACCAGGAAGTTTATAGCAGCACAATTCGCAATTGCAAAGATGTGGAAACAACCCAAGTGCCCATCAATACATGAGTGGATTAACAAAATATGGTGTATGTATACCATGGAGTACTACTCAGCCATAAAAAAATGATGAATTACCTCTTGTATTAACCTGGATGGAGCTGGAGCCCATTCTCCTAAGTGAAGTATCACAGGAATGGAAAAACAAACACCACATGTACTCACTATCAAATTGGTACTAATCGATCAACACTAATGTGCACATATGGAAGGAACATTCCTAGGGGGTGGGGCAGGGGGAGGGTGGAGGAGGGGATGGGTAAATCCACACCTAACGGATGCAGTGTGCGCTGGGGGATGGGCATGCTTGTCGGGCAGTGTAAAGGCAATTTACGTAACCAAAGCGTTTGCACCCCCGTAATACTCTGAAATAAAAAAAATTTAATTTAATTTAGAAAGAAAAATAACCCTGGCCAGGAGCTGCAGGAGAAAGAGGCTTTGGGGACCAAAGCACCCCCTTGCCCTCAACCCTGCCACATCTTAAGAGGGGACAGACTAAAAAACCAAAGTGGGTCAGGAAAAGGGCTCCTTCGGCCTAGAGGCCCCACCCGACCCCATCCTTAATGCTAAGTCAAATCCCAACCCGGCTTTAGCCTCACACTTAATTAAGCCCAGACCCAACCCCAATCACAAACCCAACTCCAACCACACCCCCGGCTTCAACTGCAAATCAGCTGCAGTCCTAATCCTGCCAAGGAGCCCCCCAAGCCCAGACCAGCCTCCAGTCAATGAAATCTCCAGTAACCCAGTCCCACCAGCACCAAACCCAGCTCTGGCACTCACCCCTCCCCAGCCTCAGCTCCACTCCATCCCTGACCTGAATCCGAATCTGGACCCCAGCTCGAAGCTTTTTGAATTCCCACCCCCGCCTGCTACTTCAGCCTTGTCCTGATTTAACCCACCCCACGCCGTAACCTCCTATGGGTCTTAACCCAGCTCCAGCTCCGTCGGACCTGGCTGCACTCCTGGGCTTCTCCGTCCCAGGCTCAGTTTCCACCTTAATTGTCCCTCAAGCCACTCCTTCGGCCCCACTCCACCTGTCCCCTGCTCCTTTCCTGAGTGCCCCTGCCCAATGTGGCTTCTCCAGCCCCTTCCTGTCCCAGCCTTCCTCTGCCACCCCCAGCCTGCACACAGCCAATTGGGCCACCACGTGGGGGAATGTGCTGCATGCAGACCTCGGCAGGCACTCATGCACACACAGGCACACACACACACACACACACACACATACACACCTCTGTACAGACATGAATTCACACCCCTCAGCATACACACACACCTTAGTGTACACAGATAAACACACCTCATTGTACACACAGACACATACCTCAGCACATACGCACGTGCACACACACCTTCAGTGTGTGCACGCACACATCTTGGTGTACACAGAACACACACATCTCAGTGTATAGATACACAAACACCTTGGTGTACACAGATAGACACGCCTCAGCAGACACACACACCTGTTAACACACAAACACACACACCAGAAAGGGGAGGAAAGTCTGGCCTGGGCGGTGCGAGCTGTGCTCCCTCCAGCTCCTCCTCAGTGTAGACTCTCCCCACGCAGGGATCCCGCCCCACCGCCTGCCCAGCCGTCCTGCCATCCAGCCAGGTTTGCAGAGCAGAAAGATGGAGGTCCCAGGGCTACTCTTTCTCCAGTGTACTGGGGACCTCGCTCACAACAGAGCACAGTGAACACACTGGGCCGGGGGCACGGTCCTAACGGGAGCCAGAGGGGCACAGGCACACACCAAGCAATCCCCCCGACAGGGTCTGTGGCTCCTGGGCCAGGGAGCTGGGCGTGGGGAGTGTCATTCCAGGACACTGAGGCCACAAGACAGGCAGGATAGCCGGGGCCGGCACAGGATGAGGACACGCTGCGGGTCAGACAGGCAGGGGCTCACCAGGGGGACGAGGAGCAGCTGCTGCTGCTGCTGAAAGTAGTAGCGGAATGGCCCTCTGCCGCACGCCTTCTGTGTGCCAGTCATTGAGCATCTTAAAAACCTTGCTTAATCCTCAAAACAATAATACCTACCCCACAGGTAGGTATTACATCAATCTCCACAGAGGACATAAGGGACAATGAGACTCAGAGAAGGGAAGACATTTGTCCAAGTTCATGCACATCACAGCTGGGCAGTAGGAGGGATTTGAACCCAGGCCTGAGGATGGCAGAGCCAAGGCCTTCCTTAAAGTCACAGAAGCCAAGCCTGGCACCTGGTCTGCAGCCTCAGCTCTGCCATTTGAATCTATCTCACCCCATCTCTACTCTCCATGCTGAATTATTCACATTTTCCTGAATATTTCGGGCCTGTCTCGCCTCCTGGTTGTCCCGAGAGTAACACCCTTGGCATGAGACAGCCTTCTACACCAGCTCCTTCCCTGAGAAAATTTCCACCCGTTCTCCAGGACTCAGTGCTGTCATGACCCCCTTGGAGAAACCCCCCTGAACTATCCTGTTCAGGGTGTGCGAGGTGGCCCCTCCATGCTCCCCTGCCCCAGTGCAGCCCTGTCACCTCCACCCTAACCACCCCGAGTGGCCACTGGTCTGGGTCTGGGCCTCCCTCCTCAAGGGCAGGGTCTGTGTGCCCACCTAGCACAGGGCTGGTCCAGAACAGTCACCCAGAACAAGTGTACATGGCTGGTGAATGAATGCAAGACCCAGCCCAGCCGTGAGTCAAAGTGGATCCCCAGGGAGGGGCTGGCCCCCACCAGGCTCTTCTCTCCCAAGGCTGTCTTGAGCCTTATGTTATGAGACCTGACAGGTCAGCAGATGAGAGTGACAAGAGCTCCAGGTTACTCAGTACCACTGCCTGGTCCTGGTACCACTGCCATGAACACCTTCCTGCTCTCGGTGCTCTGCCTCCTTGGGGCCTGGGCCGCCCTGGCAGAGGGGGTCACTGTGCAGGTGAGTTCTCCATCCCTCCCTTAGCCCATCCGGCTGGCTGCCTCCAGTGCCCAGGGCCTGTCCCCTGAGAGAGCACCCCCTCTTTGGGGTTGGAGTGGGGGTGTGTGCCTGAGGCTTGGCCTTCATCAGGGACCCCCTTCTCAGTCCTGACACACACGCCTTTCCCTTCAAATTTGGAGGACAAAGAATGCCATGTAGAGAGAAGAGAACCTTTGGGAAAAGTGGGCCATGGCCAATTTCCTGAGGGCCTGCCATGTGCTGGCTCCTCCCCAAGTACCTTGCTGTGGCCCCACCATCACCCTGGGATCCATTTTACAGAAGAGGAAAACCGAGCCTCGTGGAGGTTCCATAACAGGCCACGGGCACACAGCTGGGAAGCGAAGGAGCTAAGTTCAAATCCAGCCCTTACTCTTCCGTTCTGTGCTCAGCCAGAGCATCTGTCCGGCTCCCAGGAACCGCATGGCCATCCTAGAGGTCCTGACGGGTGCGTGTACCCACTGCCAGGGCGGAGGCCAGCAGCAGGCCAGGCTGGCACTCAGCAGGGGCCCTGCTGTCTATCACAGACATATCCTTGAGGCCTTTTATTGCTTCTCAAACAAAAGCCAGGCGGCAGGTCCCAGCTGGGGCCCAGTGATCAGCCTGAACCGCTCTGGGCGGCGGGAGACAACCCAGGCATAGCCACGTGGAGCTGTGATGCCTGGGTGCTGGTGCCCGCGCCTCTCCCTTAAAATCAGCACGCTGGCTCCTTCTCATTAGGCACCGAGCGTGCCCCCGGCGGCGCGTCACACCCATTTTCTCCATTCCTCAGGGGGCATGCAGAACCTGTGGCTTCCAGGGCGCCCAGGGTCACGGAGCAAAGCCTGGGTGGGAGGCCTGAGCTCTGCCCTCACGCTGCCCCGCAGGGGAGCTGCTGGTTCCCAAATGCCCGGGGGACACAGCCAGGAAGCAGGCTGCAGCCTGGGCCTCGCTCTGGCGTGTCTATTTCAGGATGGAGATTTCTCCTTTTCTCTGGAGTCAGTGAAGAAGCTCAAAGGCCTCCGGGAGCCCCAGGAGCCCAGAATTGGGAAATTCTGGATGCTTAAGCCCATGCCTGGTGAATCTGTGGTTCCAGTCCTCTGTAGCATCCCGAAGTTTCCAGAAGAACTCGAGCCTCTCTGCAAGGAGCCAAACGCCCAGGAGGTCCTTGAGAGCCTGAGTGAGCAGTCTCCTCTCTGATTGGCGGGGGTTGGGAATTCTCTGATTAGCGGCTCTTGAGGAAGACTGTGCTCTGATTGGTAGGATTCTGAGGAGGGGCTCGGCTCTGATTGGTCAGACAAGAGAGCTTGGCTCTGATTGGTGGGTCTATTGCACACTCTACTTCAAATAATTCTGAATTGTAACTGGTGAGGTTTAGGAACGGCTTCACTCTGACTGGTGGGTGGTAGCACTGTGCCTGGTTCGTCTGCTCTTAGCTGTATCTCTTTTCTGGGTAGGATCTCGGCTCTGATTGGCTTGAGCTGTCCCTGTGCCCCGGTTTGGGGTGAAAAGCCCAAGTGGGTGGGACAGGACAGACCTGCTGGGATTCTCCCGGGGGCTGGGTGGCAGATGTCCAAACTCTGGCTCAAGGGAGGCAGGGGGCTCTGGGGAAGGGGAAGCTAGCTCTCACGAGGCCGAGGCCGATCTCTCTTGTCCAGAGGCCATCGCTAACGACCCGAACACATGTGAGATCTGTGCCTACGCTGCCTGTGCCGGATGCTAGGGCGGCTCGCTTGCTGCCTTCTGCCCCTTCACCACAGGGAAGCACTTTCTTCTGCTGGAGGGGCTGCCCACTATACTCCCACTCACAGAAGCTCAACCCTACCCTAGCCCAGAATGGAGGAGTGAAGAGAGAGCAGCTGGGGGGCGGGAGGTGGGTGCTAGGTGACTGGAGACCCAATGCCCTGACACTGACCTTTGCAAGATGCATTGCAACCCTCAGCTAATAAACCAGTTTCCAGAGTACTTCTGGTGTTGCCTTCCTTTCTTCCTTCACCCATCAGTCTGCCCTGGGAAGCTTGGGGTTTAGTGTGCAAAGTGGAAGGACTCCAATCCCCCTGCTAAGAATGGGAACGCGGCATGCAGGGAACCTGAACCTCCAGACCACCAGTGGTGGGGGGAGGCTTTGCTTTTCTTTGGCATCTCGTGGTGGGGTCATCAAAGTCACTAAGCCACGTGTGAGCACAGAAGCCTGTCTGAGCTGGTTTGGACAACGAACACAGACACTTGACCCACTAGGAGATTGGTGCCAAGCTCCTGGGTATTCAAGGTGCCTCAGGATCTGGCTTCCACTGACTGACCACGCCTGCATGGCCTCCCGCCCTCCCCCATGACCCCGTCCCAAACCACACCTCTCGCCATTTCCTCTGCACTACTCCTCCTCCCACACCCCTGGCCATAAACTCCCACTCAGGCTCCAAGACTGTGCTCCATGGCCTCAGCTCAAGACATCTTCCTGATCTCCCCAGGGCGAGTCTTAGTCTTCCTAAGGCAGGAGATTAGGATAGGGAACACAGGTGGCACAGAACAATGGGAACAAAATTAGGGTTACTGATCAATGAAAGCAAAAGCTGTGGATGAGCTGCGATTGCACCCATTGTAGACACACCTTGCTTGCCCGGGTTTGGGGGAAGTCCCGCAGGAGGCGCCTGAGCAGATGGAGGGCAAGAGTGTCCTCAAATGACTCTGACTTCATTATACCATCATTACCATAAATTAGCATGGCAGCTTCTCCCTCTCCCCCCAGTGGGTTTTGGAAGCCATGACACATCTGGGTCTAAACAAATAAAGTAAAAAGCTCCCCTGCCTGACAGATGGGAGGAGATAACATTTTCATTGGCCAGGGAGATGGCAACCCAAGAATGAGGAAGTCAGAAGAAAGAAAAAGAGAAACTCAATAAGACCCCAGGGCCACTGTCTGCTGGGATGTGTGTCCACTCCTACCCCTCATTTCGAGTGTACTATCGCCCGCTAATCTTTCTTGACACTCCCCTCCATGTCTGGAGGTGTACTTGCTTAATAAACTTCTTTCACTTTGCTTTGCTGCTTCGGTGCTTGGTTTCAATTCTTTGTCTCCAAGCACAAGAACGAAGGATGATCACTCACCAGTAACATTCCCACTCTGTGCTTGGTGCTCTCTGGGCTCTTTGATCACCCTGACCCCTTGCACAACTCTGGCCACCTTATTGTTGTAATGCCCTCTGTGCCTGGGGAAGCCTCTCTGACCCGCAGAGCTGGTGAGGTCCACCCACATGGATGATAGCATGAGGATATAACACAGGGCAGGGCAAAAGCAAGGGCTATGTGGCCCTGGCCCTGGCTTCAGCCCCAGGTCTTCCAGGTACTGTGTAATGTTAGGAAAGTCAGCTTCCTTATTTGTGCCTCAGTCTCCCCTCTGTAAATTGGGGCACTAATACTTCCTGCTTCCCTGGCTGGGTGAAATAATGCCTGTAAAGCCCTCAGTTCGGGCCTGACACAAACATAAAAAGAATTTAATAAATGATAAAACAAACAAACCAGGGAAAGGGGGACTAGAGTCGGGCTTAGAGTGGTTCAGACAGGACTGAGGAGGTAAGGCATGGAAATGAGGCCAATGAGCAAGGGCAGAGGCAAGGAGGAGCCAGGAGGCAGCCAGGGTCCTCGCTGGGGGGAGGTGGAGGTAGGGGTGGTGGTGGATGGGAAGTGCCACAGGGGGATTCAGGCAGGATTTCCTGGGCTTTCAAATTGAAAGGGTAAGATCTCTTCTGGCTGAAATCCGGGCAGGCTTTGTGAAAGGGGAGGAGGGAGTGAATTTGCATTGGATGGATAGAATTTCAAAACCATTGTGGAAGCAGGGAGAAAGGGGGTGTTCCAGAAGGTGGAGATGCTATATGTACACGCAGAGGGACTAGAACGGTTCATCTGGGACAGTGTGGAGCTGGGGAAACAGGACCGAGTTTGAGCCTGACTGTGTTATTCACAGGCTGTGCCCCCCTTTCTGAGTCTTGGTTTTCTCATCTGAAAGTGGGGATGATAACAGATCCAGCACCCCAGGGTTGCTAGGGGATTTGATGAGATGTGTGGTGGGGTAAAAGGCAGAGTCAGGTTTCATGCCCATAGAGTCTGGCTCCAGAGTTAGGACATTATTATTATTATTATTTTGTCTTGTTTGTTTGTTTTTTGAGACAGAGTCTTGCTCTGTTGCCCAGGCTAGAGTGCAGTGGTATCATCATAGCTCACTGCAACCTCAAACTCCTGGGTTCAAATGATCCTCCTGTCTCAGCCTCCCGTGAACCTGGGACTACAGACATGCACCACTGTGCCTGGCTAATCTTTCTACTTTTAGTGGAGATGGGGTCTCACTGTTGCTCAGGCTGGTCTCAAACTCCTGAGCTCAAGCATCCTCCTGCGTGGGCCTCCTGGATTGCTAGGATTATAGGCGTGAGCCACCACACCCAGCTTAGAGTTAGGACATTAAATTTCAATGACATTTTTCATAGAAATAGAAAAACAATCCTAAAATTCATATGGAACCACAAAAGACCTCAAATAGGCAAAACAATCTTGAGCGGAAAAAAAAAAAAACAAAGCTAGAGGCATTACATTACCTGATCTTAAAATCTACTACAAAGCTGTAGTAATCAAAGAGCATTAGCACAAAAACAGACATGGAGACCAATGGAATGGAATGGAATAAAGAGAGACCAGAAATAAATCCACACATTTACAGTCAACTGACCTTTGGCAAAAGTGCCAAGATTACACAATGGGGAAAGGACAGTCTCTCCAATAAATGGTATTGGGGAATGCAGAAGAATGAATTTAGACACTTATCTCACCTCATATACAAAAATAAAATCAAAATGGATTAAAGACTTAACTTCAGACCTGAAATTGTAAAACTGCCAGAAGAGGCTGGGTGTGGTGGTGCACGTTTATAGTCCCAGCTACTTGGGAAGCTGGGGTGGGAAGATCACTGGAGCCCGGGAGTTCAAGGCCAGCTTGGACAACATAGTGAGACTCCACCTCAAAAACAAAGACAAACTACTAGAAAAAACATACGAGGAAATCTTGACATTGGTCTTGGCAAAAAATTTCTTGCATATGATCCCAAAAACACAGGCAACCAAAACAAAAATAGAAAAATGGGGTTGCATCAAACTCAAAAGCTTCTGCATGGTGGAGGAAACAATCAACAGAATGAAAACAGCCCATGGAATGAGAGAAAATATTTGAAACTATACATTTGATAAAGGGTTAATGTCTGAAATATAAAAGGAAGTTAATAGCAAGAAAACAAGTAACTCCATTAAAAAATGGGCAAAGGACCTGAATAAACATTTCTCAAAAGAAGACATACAAAGGGCCAACATCACTAGTCAGGAGAGAGTTGCAAATTAAAACCATGATCAGATATCACCTCACACCTATTAAGAATGACTTTTATCAATAAACAAAAGGTGCCAAGCTAAGTGGCACCCAGCTATCATCCCAGCTTACTAGGAAGGCTGAGCTGGGAAGATCACTCAAGCCTGGAGTTTGAGACGAGACTGGGCAACATGCTGAAAGCCATCTCAAAAAAATTAATGAATGAATGAATTAATTACAAACAAAAGATAACAGCGTTGGTGAGGATGTGGAGAAAAGGGAACCCTTGCACACTGCTGGTGGGAATGTAAATTAGTACAGCCATTGTGGGAAACAGTACACAGTTTCCTCAGAAAATTAAAAATTGAATTACCATATGATCCAGCAATCCCACTGCTGGGTATATATCCAAAGAAATGATACAAGTATGTCAAAGAGATATGTACACTCCCATGTTTATTTTAACATTATTCACAATAATCAAGATATGGAATTAACCTAGTGTCCATCAACAGAGGCATGGATAACAAACATGTGGTATGTGTGCACAGTGAAATACCATTCAGCCTGAAGAAAGAAGAAAATCCTGTTGTCTGTGACAAAATGGATAAAACTTGAGGAAATAAGCCAGACACAGAAAGACAAATACTGCATGATCTCACTTAAATGTGAAATCTAAAAAAAAAAAATCTCTAATTCATAGAAGCAGAAAGTAAAATAGTGGTTACCAGGGGCTGGGTGGGGGGGAATGGGGAGAAAGGAAAAAGAAGAAAGGAGGGAGGAGGAGGAGATGGGGGAGGAGGCGACTCCACTGGGCCCCTAGCGAGCACTTTGCCAAAGCTGCTACTATCGCTATTTCTGTGTAGTGGCACATCCTTGCACCTGGCACGTGGTAGGGGCTCAGCCGTGGCAGTTGCTTTTGCCGTCTCCACCAGGAAGGCGGGGGCCCAGCGTCGCGTAGGAGCAGTGGGAGATGAGTCCGGGTGGTGCATGGGCTGGAGTTAAACATGAGAGTGGCACAGGGGAGCCACAGAAGGGTAAGGGGCACCGTCAGAGCGGTGCTGGCGTGTTCCTCTGGCATGGTGGGCATAGAAAACCCACAGGACACAGGGCCAGGAAGGGAGCTGTGGCCTCGCTGAGGCTGGTGCAATGAGGGCCTTAGCAAGTGATGGTCGTGGGGTGAGAAGTGGGCCCAGAGAGCCACAGGAGACACCTCAAGGGCCTCCAGCCAGCCTTGCCTGGGGGTGAGAGTGAGGAAGCAGCTGGAGCTGGGAGACTGCAGGACCTGAGCAGAACTGGGCGGTCAGGGAGGGCAGCCTTCTGGGGCATCCACTGTGGCCTTGGGGGGCTGAGTTCAGATGGCATGGCCCCGGTGGCCCCAGCTTTCCTGCTGCCTGGCTGCGCAGGACCAAGGCTGAGGAGGAGCCCTCTCTGGAAAGGCCCTGCTCCCGGGAATTCCCAGCATGGCTCCTGGCCAGAGTTCAGGCACCGAGGATGGTGGCGAGGCTGCGGTGGCTGCACCATTGTCTGTTAGACACCATTGCCCCGCCCGGCAACACGGAAGGGCAGGAACATGGTGGTCAGAGCATGGACTCTGGTCTGGATGTCCCGGGAGGAAGGCTTCTTTGCCCCTTCGCTCAATCTGTTATCCTGGGCTAGTGATGTGTCCCTCTCTACCTGACTGTCCTCACGGGTAGAGTGCATATGGTCACGGTGATGGTGTCTACTTCATCAGACGGTTGTAAAGACTATGAGTTAATATGTGGTGTTTGGAATAGTGTCTAAGCAAATATTTAATATTGACTGTTACCATTATTGTTCATATTCCTCAGGGCCACCAGGATGAAGACAGGGAGGAAAGGACTCCCACTGGAGCTGACCAGATGGCCCCCGGGGGCTGGGAGGAGGGAGCTCAGGGGGTGAGGAGGAGGCCAAGGCAGGCCCGGGGCAGAGGCAGCCCCGATGATGGCCTGGGAGGGGGCTCAGGGGACCCTTCCCTCATGCACCCTTCCCGTCCCACCTCCTGCCCAGCTCAAGCCCACGCCCAGGTCAGGAGCACAGACGCTCTTGCTCTGAAGCCGGGGAGGCCTTGAGCTCCGCAGTTCCGGGCACCTCACTCCCGCCCTGAGCCTGGGCTGCCTCCAATAGGAAATGGGGTCTAATAAATCGACTCCCTGGGCCTTGGAAACTTCAGGGAAATTCCCGCCTGGTATTTTCAGTCTAACCTTTCCCTCAACCCACCCAGCAGGCCAAGAAGCTCCGCCCGTGGCTCCAGGGAATGGATAGATGGACGCCTGGACTCTTCGTGGAAGTACAATCTTTATTCAGGAGTGTGGCTGACTCGGGAGGAGACTCTCCTCCACCGTGTGTCCAATCCCGATGCAGACCCGTCTGGGCCCTGGCAGGGCGGCGATGACCTGATGACCGTGGTGGCCAGGGGCCCTGCCTGAGCATGGATGGGGGCGAGAGGCTGCCGAGGCAGCGGGCTGAAGGGCCAAGGTGTCCAGGGTGGGCTCAGGGCGCTGAGGCCCATCTCAGAGGCAGCCGGTACAGGCAATGTTCACGCACAGCTCACACTCGTCGTTGGCCATCATCTCTGGGTGGGGAGAAAACCGGTCAGTGGACCCGAATCCCAGACACCTGTGGCTCCAGGGGCGCTGCTGGACGGGTGGCCAAGAAAGCCTGCACAGGGGTGGGCAGTATCTTGCTCACAGACAGGGAGCACGAAACGCTGGAGGCTAAGTGAGAGGCTCAGGTTCAAGTCCCAGGCACTCTCTTTCCCAGCGGGAAGTGTGACTGGGCAAGTGAGTCACCCTCTTTGTGCCGGAGTTTTCTTGTCTGCTAAATGGACAGCATCAACCTGACAGGGTCGCTGCAGGGACAGAATTCAGGCGATGGGACAGACACAGGGCCCAGCACACAGTAGGTGCTCAGTAAATGCTAGCTCGTCGCTCAGTCCTCCTGCCCTAGTCTGCTTCACCCCCCAGGTTCCGGCTGTTTCCCCCTCTTGGAAGCCTTCCAGACCCGTCCCACCCGGACGTGAGCCGTCTCCGTCTCTCCCCTGTGCCACGTAGCCGTTGTCTGCTGGGTCTGCCCCATGCCCCTTCCCTCCCATCTGTGAAGCCCTTGAGGGACTTCCCGGGACTGAGGGGCTCTGGGCACATCTGCCTTGCAGTGCCCAAACCAGGAAGTCCTGGTGGGGACAGGGGCTGAGTTTCTTGACTCTCCCTGTCCTCAGCCTCAGGGGGATTAGCAGAAACGACCCGGGGTGGAGGAGCTGGGCTGTGGGCAGAACCCACCAGGGGCAGGAAGTTCTGCAGGGGACAGGGGTGCTCACTTAAGGCCTTGAAGATGCTGGCAGCCTCCTGGGAGGTGCAGACAGGCTGGAGGTCCGAGGGCAGGGCCGGGTGGTGGCACACAGCAGGCAGAAGGCTCTGGGCCTGCAGGCGGGGGCTGGGCGCAAACTGCCGCTCCAGGTCACTCAGCTTCTTCACAGACTCCAGCTGCACCTGGAAGCCTTGGTACTGGGGGCAGGGGAGAGGAGATGGGAAGGTAACAAGACCCGGCCGGGGGCAGGCACTGCCACGAGACCCAGGGTTCCCAGGCCCTTCCTCTCCTCATGGAGAGACGAGGCCACACTGGAAGGAGCAGCTAGGTGGTGGGAGGTGGTGTCTGTTCTCCTCCCACCCTACACCCCTGGCACCCCACCGTGCCACAGAGCTGGTAGAGGAAGAAGAAGCAAGGCGGTGGAGCACAGTGGGTCAGGCCTGGCGTTAGACACAGGCAGACTCCAGTTCAAACACCCTAGCTCCCTCCTCTGGCATCCCCCGTGGGGGCCTGGTGCGAGCACACACTCACTGAACTGGGTGCTGTCCCCTGGACTGACAAAGCAAGGTGATAGCAGCCCCAAGCTGGCCGAGCCCCAAGGCCAGGGCCACAGGAGGAGGCTGAGTCTCCTGCACCCTTCCCAGGGCCCAAGGAGGCCCTGCCCAGAGTCAGGGATGCCACACGCAGGGCCACAGATGTCTCTGCTGTGCTCAGCATCCTGCCACATGGCAGGCAGCCCCTGCTTCCAGGACTCGTTCCAGCCTCACAGGCGCCTGGAAGGGCCCTGACCTCCTCGCTGTCTTCTTCCCGGGCTTTTGCACGTGCTGTGCCCTCTGTGCCCGGCAACCTCCTGCTCGCCCTGCAATGTCAGCTGCCAGGGTAATTTTTCTGGTGACTGTCCCCATCCACCCACAGAGGGGTGAATATAGACAGCTGTGGGAGCATCAAAGGGCTCTTCCTCCCTTTCTGGGCTCCTCCAGGGCAGGGTCCATGTCTTGTGCCACACTCTGACCTCCGTGACAGCACAGGCCTTTGAGGATGGCAGAGCTGAGTAAGAGCAGTTTGCTGTTGTCAGCACCATCATCTCTGCCATCGACACCAGCTGCCCCCACCCGCCAGCTGTCTTGGTGGGTGGTGATGGGTGTCGGGCTGACCCCTGGCCCGGTGCTGCCCGGTACCCTACGAATTCCCAGTACACCCCCTCCAGCTTCGCCGACCACCACGGGGACCTTCAGGTGAAGGGCCGGCTGGCCAGAGGGGCTCACCTGGATGCGGACTGACTGTGTGCTCTGCAGCAGCACCAGGAGGACCACGGCCGCCCCCAACGACAGCCTCCACACAGCCCTGCTGCCCATGTCGCTCCCTGTGTTCCCCCTGCGCCGTCCCCGGCTCCTGCCTGCTTCCCCCGCTAGCAGCTCTTTATAGAGCAGGCTCCCAGTCTCGGTCACTCATTAACCAGCCAGTGGGGTGGGGTTGACAGTGGCTGGCTCTCTGACAAGCCCAGGGCTGGTTTCCAGGAGGGGGTTGGGGGTGGCGAGGGCAGGGAGCGCGGGAACGTGGTACTCTCATGTCAGAGCCTGCTGAGCGCGAGGCTCAGTGTGTGTCAGAGCCTGCTGAGCGCGAGGCTCAGTGTGGGGGGCCGCGGGCCCCAGCGCTTTCCTTCCGCACACGCGAGTGCGATGGTAGGGAGACCACGTCCCAGACAGGGAAAGTGAAGCTCAAGAGGTAAAGTGACTTGGCCCAGGTCACAGAGCTAGTCGGTGGCAGAGCAGGGGCTCCAGCCAGTGCTCCAGCCCACGGTTCTTTCTCTGAGTGGAGGACGCGGATGGACAGGCTGGCCCAGGGCAAGGCGGGCAGACACGGCTGATCCCACTCCCCCAAGACCCACATCTCTCTCGCTCCATCCCCCCAGTTCTATTTAAGGACCATCCTCTGACCAGCCCTTGCCCAGGCCTTCGTCCTGCCTCTGCCTGCCACCTTCTACCTGTGCCCGGGTGCCCTCAAGCCACGTTTGATCCATCTCATGGTCTGCGCCTTTCAGAAGCCAATAGCTTAATCCAGCGTGGAGGAAAGAGCCCTAGCCTTGGAGACGGATTGACCTGGACTCAAATCCTAGTCCTCCTGCAGTGATGTGACCTCGGGCAAGTCACACCAACTGTGACTGAGCCTCCATTTCCTCTTCCATCAAATGGGCGTTATAGAGCCCATTGCATGAGGTTGCCGTGAAGGGGGAGGGGGCGGCCCACCTGAGCTTGCCTTCATCCCCAGGGTAGTACATCTGCAACAGGCACCCTAGGCGATGCACAATCAGTGGTTATGAGAAGAGGACAAAGTCTCTAAGAGCAATATCACCACTGCCAGACCAGGCAGCTGTAAACAGTGCCTGCGCCAGGGCTCAGCTCTGCCAGACTCAGGCTCTGGCCTGTGGCAGGCTCCCCAAGCACGCCATTGAGTTGAGGCCCTGGTAGCCCACCTTGGCATTTAAGGCGGAACTCCAACTTGGTAGCTAAAACTGATGTCATCTTAATTCCCTCACACCAACCCTACTCGCACACGCCGGCTCCCATCTCACGTTTTTTTTTTTTCATTTCTCATTTTTTTTTTTTTTCAAGGCTGCTCAAGTGAAGCAGTGGGAGGGAGAAGTAACGAAGGAATCTGTGAACGGTTACGATCATTTAGTTGTAAATACCACTGCACTCGGACCAACCCATCTCATGTTTTTGCTGATGCATGCCACCTGCCTGGAGTGCCCATCTTCCTCTTTCTTATCTTGGACTGAAACGGAAAAAAGCTCACATGAACTTTGGATTGTCCTGTGTCTTGCTTTGAATCCAGACTTCAGCCTTTACTCTTAGAGTATGAAGAAATTAATGGACTCTTACATGGTTTCTCATCTGTAAAATGAAAATGATCATCAGACAGTAATAGCTCTCATTTCTCGAATACTGTGTGCTGGGCACAAGGAGGTTTTACAGCCATAACCCCATCGAATCCCGTAGATAGGTCTTACTCATTTTACACATGAGTAGCCCAAGGCCCAACAAGGCACCGAGTTTGTTGTCACTGTGGGAGTGCGCGAGGTGAGCAGGTTTTCTATCTGGAATTCTTGCTTCTGCTCAGCCTGTGGTGTTATAGAAAAAGAAACCCAGGCCTTGGAGGCAAGGACAGCTGGGCTCAAACTGAGACTCCGCACTTAGCAGCTGTGTGACCTCAGGTACGTTGCTCAGCTTCTCTGAGCCCCCATTTCTTCATTAGTGAGAGGAGAAAATAATAAACAACCTCATAGGGGCTGTGTTAGGAAAAACACAACCTGTGAGTGTCCCTGTCCCCAAACTGACCATTTCTCCAGCATGTGCCTCGCCCGTGGGGACATTCAATAAAGGGTGATTTCCCTGCCTCTCCACCATAGAACACCCCTGACAAGCCCCATCTCTGAAACTACAGCTGGACTAGTTCTGCTCTCTGACTTATGCAGGCTGAACTTGGTGCTGTGCCTTTCTCTCCGGAGCTGGGTTTGACAAACTGTATGACCTTGGGCAAGTGACACCACCTCTGCAATCTCAGTTTCTCATTTGTAAAAATGTGTTTAAAGTCATTGTGAGGCTGCCTGGTACCCAAATCCACGCTCTTTCCACCAGAGGAAGCCCACCCCCATCAGCCCCACATCTAGAGGACAAGGAGAGATCCTGCGGGGTTTGGAGGCCCCTAGGCCATGGTCTCTTTCCCTCCTCTGCGCCCGCCTCCTCCAGCCAGAGCACACTGTGTGTCAGTGTCTGTCTTCCCTGGGAACCAGGTGTGACTCCCCTATCTGCCTAACGTGACTCAAATTCATTTTCCCAATCCACCTCCTCCTAATCTCTTCATGAATGACCCACCATCCATCAAAACCAGCTTGGTCACAGACGCAAAGCCTTGCTGCCACCCTATCAGCCTACGAGCCTTGACGTGGTATTATCAGGGTGCTTCCCTCTTTATGGATGTGGGAAGTGGCTGTCGTGCCAGCCTGGACCGACGCAGAACAGGTGACAGTTTGCCCGTGTGCGTGTTTGGGCTTCTCCTCTCTCCACACCGAGTCTCTGCCTAGCGCCTGCCCCACAGCGCCCTGGAGCCTGTGGCGCTCCCTGCCCCGTTTCCTCAGCAGCATTTGTCGCTGCTGACCTCTCCACCTTTCTTAGAATAAAGTTCTTTTTCCACTGGGCTTCTGGGACACACGCTCTCCAGATTTTCTGCCAATCTTGTTGGCCCCATCTTCTCAGTTTCCTTTGTTGTTTCTTCCTTCTCTTCCTGACCTTGAGATCTTAGGTTGCCCCAGGGACACCGGGCTCAGTCCTTGGAAATCTTTCCTCTGTCCAGAATCACGCCCTTGGTGATCTTAGCTGGTCTCAAGGATTTTAATTGCCATCAATACCCTGTCCACTCCCTAGCCTGGCCCCTCCCCTCAGTGCCAGATCCATTAATTTATGCCTCTTCAGCACCAGTTGATGGTACCACCATTAACCTAGTGGCTCAGGTCAAAAATCTGGGAGTTATCATTGGTACCTCTCTTTCTTTTATTTGCCAAATTCAATTCATTAATAAATCCAGTTGGCTCTATCTTCAAACTCTTTCTAGGCTCCAACCATGTCTCCCAATCTCCACTGCTACTCCCAAGTTCTGGGCTATCATTGGTCACACGCATTATTGCAACAGTCTTGCATTAGGTGGAGTTCTCCAGAGAAACGGAACCAACAGGAGATCACACGTATATATTCTGTAATATTATCTATCTATCTTTCATCTATACAGATTTATTTTAAGGACCTGGCTCACGTGATTGTTGGGGCTGGCAAGACTGAGATCTTTAGGGATGTTTGGCAGGCTGGGAATTCAGGTAAGAGTTGATGTTGCAGTCTGGAGTCTGAGATCTGCAGGGCTGGCAGCGGGCGGGAAGCTCAGGCTTTCTGTGTTGCAGTCTAGAGGCAGAATCGCTTCCTTGGGAGACCTCAGGCTTTGCTCTTAAGGCCTTCAGCTGAGTGTGTGGGAAGCCCACACACACAGTACGGAGGGTAATCTGCCTCAATCAAAGTCTACTGATTAGAAATGTTAATCACATAAAAAAATATTTTCATAGCCACACATTTAGTCTGGTATTTGACCGAACAACTGGGCGCCATAGCCTGGCCAAGCTGACATACAAAATTAACCATGGCAAGTATCCAAATAGATCTCCCTCTACCAGCTCCTGCCCATCTTCAGATCTTTGTCCGTGCAGCAGCCGGGGTTGGGGGTCCTATTAAAATCTAAGACAGATTATTTTCCTCCCCTGCTCAAACCTACTAATGGCTTTCCACTTCCCTTAGGCAAAACCCAAAGGCTTCCACCTACAAGGGCCCTTTAACACCCCTTTTTGTCTTTGACCTCAACTCCCGAAACTCCCTGAGTTCCAGCCACACCAGCTTCCTCGATGTCCCCCAAACATACCAGAGCTGATTTGCCTGGGGGTCTTCGCTCTTCATCCACCTACTGATGTCACTCACCCCTCACTTCACCCAAGTATCTGCTCAAATTCCACTTCCTCAGAGATCTCTCCAGATCATCCCACCACAGAGAACTTCCTCTGTCACTCCTAATTCTCTTAACTTGCTTTCTTGTAGCACCTGTCTCATATATACATTTCATTTCTTGTGTCTTTCTCTCTCCTACAAGGTCGGTTCTATTAGAGTAAGGAATTTGCCCGTTTTGTTCTTCCAAAACAATACCGGGCACATCATTGGTGCTCAACAAATACCTGATGAATTGCATAAATGGATATGATTCAAAAATCTGTCCCACCGAGCACTAGGTGTTTAGCCGTGGCCAATTTCCTATTCTCTGACCCTTAGTCACCTCGCCTAGCATCTTACTGGCACGTGGTGGGTGTTCAAAAAAATGTTCATTATTTTTATAGTTGTGAAATCATTTGTTTGTTGAGAAATGGAATCCTTTCTGTGTCTTGTGTGCATAGAAGCCCCTGGGGCATTCAATAATTTAATCAACAAATATTTACTGCTAGCCTATTATGTGCGAGCAGAAGGGATACAAAAACTAACAAAACAGAGCCACTGCCCATAAAACAGTATGGCGACTTGGACGCGGGTGGGTGCAGAGACGGTGCAGACGGGTTGGATTCTAGAGTCTTTGAGGGCAGAGCTCACTGGATTTTCTGTGCATTTGGATGTAAAGGGTGGATGAAGAGAGGAGACCAGGACAACTCCAAGGTTGTTCCAGGTGAAATGGTACTGCCATTTGCTGAGATGGGAAGCAGGAGTGAGCATGCCACGTGAGGGTATCAAGAGTGTAGTTTGAACATGTCAGGTTTGAAATGACTGTTTGACATCTGAGTAGAGACGAACTATTGTG